AGCTCGCACGCCGCCGACCACGGTCCGCAGCACTTCCCTCACGCCCGCGCCGTGCACTGCGCTACCGGGATGGGGAGGAGCCGGGGAATAAAAGGCAAGGCCTCCTCCCCGTCGGGGAATCGAACCCCGGTCTCCCGCGTGACAGGCGGGGATACTCACCACTATACTAACGAGGAACGGGCTATAGTAGCACCCCCCCCGCCGAGCGCCAAGACCCGCCTGGCAGACCCCACGCGCCCTGCCTGCACCGCGCCGCGAGCTGCCGCGATGAACGGCACTTGCGCGGCCCCGGCACCCCGGTACAAGGGAAGGTGCCGGGGTGTCCCTCCGCCAAACCAGCTGCCGGGAGGCCAGCTCTCCCTGAAAAGGCAACAGCCAGTCTGAAGGAAAACGCGGCACTTTTCAAATTGAGGCATTACGAAAAAAAAAGCAGAAAATACTTAAGAATTAACTACCTCTGAGTCAGTGAAAGGTTGTAAAGGAGGACATCATCAAATTCCGAGCCCTTTGCTTCACAAACTGTCCATATGAGTGCTAAACTGAGCTCATTTGCCACTAACACCGCCTATCATAAAAGACATTAATAAAAAGAACATATTAGGAAGAAAAAAAAGGGTAACAGCTGCATTGAGAAAGCATATAAATGTATCGTGATAATGCCTTCTCAACCAGGCAACATTTAGCAGAGACATTCCTGCATTCTCCAGAAAAAAGATCGCAAAGCTGCCACTAGAAGACTGACAAATGCATGGTATGAGGACACAGTCATGGATCCAGTGTAAGAAAATTTGGGAGTTAGAAAGGAATAGGACGGGAGACATCTGATACAAAAAAGAGCAGAAAGACCCAGACGTGCATGAAGAAGAAAGAAACAGAACCTCTCACAATAAAGGCTTCTAAGTTTAAAAAGCATAAGTTATCAGTGAGATATAAGGGCTTAAAAAAAAAATTGTGTGCAGCCTATATAAAATAATAATTTAGTTGGCAACAAGCCTGAAAGAATCTGCTAAAAGCCCTACACCTAAAAAAAGCCAAGCTGATGTGCCCCACGTTCAGCAACCCGCCTTTCAGCAGGTGGTATATTCTTTCTGTGGCCCCTCAGCAGCAGCGCTCGGTCAGGAACACTGCGGGACTCCCAGACGGCAGGGTTTTGTCCATCAAAGAGACCACAGTCCTCACGCAGCCAATCGAAAGACTCTGGGAAACAGCAAAATCAACTACTCCATATGCCAATGGAGAGTACCTGACATAAGCAGAATATAGATTTCCAACTCCAGTCTGCCTCATGTTCTCTCACAAACACACTTTTAAAGGATCTGGTTAGAATTTTGAGATCGAGAAACACCGTAACAAAAAACACTGGTCAGAGAAGAACGATGATGTAAAGTCTGTTTTGTGTTTCTGATATTGTGAGTAGACCTCATCTCACTGTAACCTAATTTCAGAATAAGGAATTAATTAAATTCAAAGCACAGAACAGCGCAATTCTACACTTTTGCATCCTTTTGCCCCAGTGCTGACAGCTGACTAAGTCTGAAGACTTGGATTCATGACACTGAATTTTTGCGCATATTCTGGTGGTTCTTGACTGCAAAATGCAACAGAAAAAAATGGATGAAAGCACACCGTTTCAGTAACATCAGCTGCAGAAACAGGGAAGTGAAGGAAGGGTAGAAAGAGCAAAACCTGTATGGTAGTATCAAACATGTTTTTCTTCTAAACAATTAAGTTCTGTGAAGAAATGGGAAGCCACTGTACCTTTGAAAGACAAGGGCAGATTCATATATCCCCAAGCCACGTCTTCCCTCAATACATTTTCATGATGTGCTCCATTTTCAAACCTGCAGAAGGGGCTGAACTGTTGAAAAACATCCAGGAGAGAATCTGTATCTCCTCCAGCTCTGCTTCCATTGCCCCCTGCAAAACATACACTCTTCAGCACAATACACTAGGCTGAAACTTTTAATAGCTCACAAGCTGATCTGCCTGCAGAAAGGACAGCGCTGCCTCGCAGTCAAACCGTTGCTCAGGATTTTTAGGGCAGATGACTAAGAACAGTAACATTTTCAGCATATAAATTTAATCAGATGCCCTGAATCCTCACTGACATTTAAGAAATACAGCCATAAAATAATTCATCGTCTTAAAAACAAAAACAATGACAGGAACAAAAACCCACACACAAACCAAAATGATTCCCACAAGCTTAAGAGATAACTTAGATAACTGACAAGGGCAGATTTTAAATTAAGCCCGAACAAATGCCCTTAAATGTCTGACTTTCCCAAAAGCTTTGAGGAATTTAAGTACATCAAAGACCAAAACAAACAGTAGCTTTGCCTCTCTTTAGCACAGAGACAGACAGGTTTGGTCACCTTTTCAAGGACCAGGATTAACCCCAGACTTTCATCCATAAAGCTGTGGTGTTTTCTCCAGCCTCTCCTAGATTTGTGCTAAGCCTGGAAAACTCTCGAGGGCTGTGCGCTGGAAAAAACTTGACCACAAAAGACATGCTGAGCTACCTGGAACGCCAACCAAGGTGATTCCCACCACAGGGGGATCAGCATTAACAACCTAACTGAGAACCGCTGGGATAAGAGCTTCTCGAGAGTGGGAGATGGCTCAGTAAAAAGTCAGCACCTGGGAATTTGCATGCCAGGAGCCAGAAGATGCAAATGCAATGAAACGCAGTGCTCTCCAGTAATCTTATATGCCATATATACCTGAAACCAGACACATAATCTAAAAGCTTTGCTTTTTGCTGAGTTTGATCTGCCCATGCAGTCTTTTGCTCCATCTGTGCTCATCCTCATCCTCACCTTCATCCTCACTTATTGGCACACAAGAAGAAATGCCCATTATTTGGGCAATCACACTTGATAGATTACTTTCCAGAACGGAAAATTACAAAGAACAGACAAGTTAGAATCCTTTTAAGAACTGACAGGCTATTTTAAAAAAAACAGTTTATTACCTCAGTTCATGAAATTTCATGTTAGCACCGGGACATATGAGATTTGTGTCTTTCTGCAAAACAACAGGTCCTTTGCAAACTGCGTAGGGATTTCAGCAGTATCTCAAAACCTTTTTAAAATGCACTTTGAAGTTTGCCCGTACTTTAAGAGTGTAAATAGGTTTTAGCCCTCGTGTTTAGTTACGAGAGGGTCTCTTGTCTTTAGTCCA